CAGAATTGGTTTATTACAGACATGTGGTATGTCTTTTTCATACACATTTGCCTTGAATGCTAGCTCTACATTTATCACCATGTCATTTGGATATGGTGTGTAACAAAGTGAAATTTAGTGTGCTAAAACAAAATAAAAATATAAAAATGTAAAAAGTTAAATATGAAAACAAAAACAAATGATTAAAAACAAAATCATTAATAAACTTGGGTTTACAATTTCCTATTTTATTGTCATGAATACTTAAGTTTTAACTATTACGGTAAATCATTATTTATGGCAGAAATGAAACTCCTCACCACACTCATATATACATTATATACAGTTAGGTTTTACACAAGGAAAAAAGTAACATACCTTTAGCTCCCTGTCAGAATGTTCATAACATTCAATCAGTTGTAGCCTTGCCAAACTGCAAGAAGGGACAAGAATTTTCTGTGTATGTAGATGACAGCTGCATTTAAGCGGACACATTTCATCCTTGTCACCTTTTTTTTTCACAGCCTCTTCCATGAAAAAATAAGCACCAATCAGTCTTCAAAAGAACAATTTTATCTAAATTTTAAGTGTTAAATATAAGTTTTTTATATTTATATAACAAGCAATAAATACACCATGTCCAAACTTTTATTCTGCATATGGCTAGGCCCTGTACATAAATGTGCTACCAAGATAAGCAAACAATTTTCTGCAATTTTTTGTTTTGTTAAAGAAATCAATTAGACTTTGAGGGCTCATTCACACCAGATGTATGTGTTTCAGTGTATATTTGGATGCATTTTACATTCTTTGAGAAGGACCCTATTCGAATGACTTGAAAGGGGAAAATGCAGATCAACAAACCAAGAATACAACATGCAGGCCTTTTTTTACCTAACACACCTTAATGTGTTAGTGTGAAAGGACCCTATTGAAATCAATGGATTTACTCATGTTCATGCATTTTACCTGTTTTGACAAATGTAGTAAAATGCACAACAATGCACCCAGTGTAAACAAGCCCAAATGAAGAATTTGCTGCTAACAAAAGCCACAGACATGACATTTAGGATAGCGGTATAGTAAAAAATAGACTTCTGACTGAAGAATTTATGAAGGACAAGACACTAAGCAAATAAATTTGAAAGGTGTAGTCATTGCTGGTGATAACAACATACAGAAAAAGTGTAATGTTACAACTGTGATTCTTGTTAAAATATTAATGATAAAGCCTCTAAGGGTTTAAACAAATATGACTGGGTAGCCACACTACTACACTTTATTGTCTTGTGTGGGAAAGTTTAATATGTACATTGTCCTCCCATATACAACACGACCCAAATGACATTTGTTTTTTCCTTTTAACTCAAAATTGCACGTAAGAAGACTGTTAAAAAGTACAGTAAAAATTAAAAATTTAAGTCGGTATGCTGTACACTTTCTACAATATCATTTCAGAGTGAACTAACAAGTGCAGTCTCTAAAATTTACAGTTTTTAATGTAAAGGAATAATTCAATGGAATAAGTTTATTTATAGGTAATGCGTAAAAATGACTGTTGAGGTCAACCTAAAAAAATATTAATATTTCACGCATTCAATCGCAAAGACTGATCTTCTCTCCGCCTGGAGGATATATCGATGTCTATTGAATCTTTTCCAACAATCAGTCTCAAACGTTTTGCTGGTGGTAGAGGAATAAAGTCATCCTCAAAATCATCATCATCATCGTCGTCGTCATCATCATCGTCGTATTCATCTTCTCCCTCTTCTTCTGATGAAGAATCCCCCATACTCTCTTCTTCATAATGATCATAGTTGTTAACTTCCATTCTGGTTCCCAGCAGAGACAATGCATCCTTACAATACACACCATTTTCATGAAGTTCCTCTGGAAAAGGCCTTCTCGTTTCCTCTTCTCTCTTTAGCTGAATCTTTAGTTTTGTTGAACTACTACCTGATCCTGAGTTGAAACCATTGTTAAGTTTTGCTACATACAAACTGTTCTTGTCCTTTTCATGATCTTTACTCAGTTTAATGCTAATTTTGGATGAGCCCATGCCATCATTTTCCTTTTCTGCTTTGCTGCTGTTGCTGTCATGGCGTCTACGGAGAGTCAGTTTTGGAATTCCAGTGCTATTTTCAAGAATTAATTGTGCATCATATCTTGTGATTCGTCTGCTTTTTTTACTTTTGACAGTTCTGATTATTTCTTTTGTCCTTATTTCTGAACTGACTACAGGGCAACCATCTGAAGATGTCCTCAGATCTTTATAATCAACATGACCATCAGAAAAAGCATTTACAGCATCTGACTCACAATGTGAACTCACTAGGTTTGGCAAAGTATTATCCTTGCCAGGCAATTCAAAATCACAATTTGACACAGCGAGGTTAGCAGCCTGTTTCAAGTGTTTGCTCCGTCTAGACTTCCTTCTAGATTTACACAGACCGTTTCTCTGGTATCCACTCTCCTGTCTGTTTGAGGTGTTATGATCAAATTCATCGTTATTTAATGACTGATCTTGAAAGTCAGTTCTGTGCAATGGTGGAACACCCCCATCGCTGCTTCTATGAACATCCAAAGAATTTGGTGAAAGCTTAGCATCAGGTGCTTCCACAGAGTTCCTTGTTCTCATAGAGCTTCGAGTTATATATGAACAAGATGATTCTCCAAGAGCACCTTTCAGAGAATTCAGTTTAAATTCTCTTGCTGCATGTCTTGTTAAACAACCAGTGCTTTCTTTCAACTTTGCTGGTCCTTCGCTCTCTTTATCCCTTTTAACGGCCACATTTTTATACAACACTACTTTAGGTTCCTTAAGTAGTACATTCCCTACTTCAAGATTTTTTGAAGTATTTCTCTGCTCTGGTCGCTTGCAGTGATATCTCATCTTAACTTTAGAATGGAAAGGCTTTACAGGCTTTCTTAGTCTCTTTGGTACCCTGGAATTATTTATATGAGAGAGTTTTGATGAGGTAGAAGATGAAACTGAAATTTGTGACAAAGACTGTTTTGTCAGCGTTCTACTTTTCCCATTCTTCTTCGAACCAACTGAAGATTTTCTGTTTCTGCCTGCAAGACACAAACGACAAAACAATCTAGTACAGTTTGTAAGTGTGACAAGAAGATTTGTGTAACACTTAAGGGAACATGCCAACAGCCGTACTGTTATGCTGCTTCACTCATTTCAATATTTTGAGTCACTGGGGTTGATTTACTAAAGACAAACAGGCTGTTCACTTTGCAAGGGAATTTTCCCTTAGCTTAGTGATTGAGGTGAAGCTCTGTCATCTTCCATCACCCAATTATGCCCAAGAAAATAGAGGTTTTTACATTTTTATTGCTTGTGGGTATTCTTTGCAAACTGAATTTACACTATATTTACTAAGCCATTGGAAGCTTCCCTTGAAAAGTTACTGCCTATTAGTCTTTAGTACATCACCCAACTGAAGTATGCAGATAAGGTCACCTGACTTTTCTGATACTGATCCACAACAAATATGAGTAATTTAAAGTGCTGAAACTAGCAAATCAGCATATAAACCTGAAAACTAGCATTTTCAGAACGTTAGAAGTGGATGTCCCAAAATGCGCCTCATCATAGAACTACTTTAATGTCCCGTGACTAAAAGAGTTTCCACCCTAATTAACAAAAACAAATACTACTTAATAAATATACTTTCATACAATAATCTAATTCCTTATTTTCGGCAGTATTAGTCTTATTTATATGAAAATCTAGCTAATGGGGGGGCGTGGCTAGCTGCCAACTAAGATGGCCACAGGCTAACGGAGCTCTGCACAGCCGAACCCCTGAAGAGCAAATAAAAGCTAACGCCAGCGATCCTGACCAGCCGCTTTGAGTGAGGGTGAACCCGCCAGCTACCCCGGTGATAATCGGCCGCAACAATGGGAAGCAAACAGAAGAAGGAGCAGCGGCAGGCACAGACACCCCGCGGATCCAAGATGGCGGCCGCACGTGGAGCTGCAGACTAGCTAATAAAATGCTAGAAACCCTACAACTAGAACCTAACGTTTTGGGGGAACTTGCTTTAACACTTTTTGACTTTTCTAGCACTGCAAGCCAGAGGCGTAACTAGAAACCTTAGGGCCCCGGTGCAAGAAACATTGAAGGGCCCCCCGGGGAGACAATGTCGGCACGTCGGCGGTTACTGGGGACGGGCCTTCTTTTTCTTTGTGGGCCCCCCACAAGTGGCAGAACACCAGGGCCCTGTCACACATGCGACCCTGGTAGTTCCGCCAGTGATATGTATGAGGGCTTGTTCACACCATATGCGGTGCATTACAGAGCGGTAGCTGCTGGAACGCACAGCAATCGCTCAGTAAACTTCTCCCTTCATTCGTGGGCGGTGCATTGAAGTCAATGGCACCGCAGCCACGCCCCTGCCCACAGTATGATCGGATGCCTGGCAAAACATTGCCTGCGTTCCAGTCCACTGCAAACGCAAAAAATAGAGCATACAGCATTTTTTTTGCATGCAGCATTTTATTTTCCGGAACGCAGGCAATCTTTTGCCACGTGTCAGATCGCATTACGGGCGAACAGCCCCGAAGCCCTGAAAAACATATACAATAAGGTGACCCAGTTTTCACCAGGAAAAAGGCCCACAGTATCGTTTTGTATGTAATAACTGTAAAATTGAGATAACAAATACCTGCTCTCCAGCAGTGCAGCCACCAACCTGAGGATGTCTGATTCTTCTGATGTCTATGAGAGGACCTTAGAAGAATCCTCCTCCGCTCCATGCTGCTCTCACCATTCAAAGTTCCCGACATGCAGGCAAGTGGGTACTACGATTGACTGCAGCCCAGGGCACGCCCACAACCTCTTAAAATCCCTCCCAGTACATTGTGCAGATCTCACTCCTACCACATCACTGGCACGCCACGCCCACACACTTCTTCTGCTTCACTATGAGCGTTCTGAGCCGGGTAATGGGGAAATGTCACTGGCTGCTCAAAATATCAGTCAAACGGACCTGTATCGCCACACACTATTTTTCTGTAATGTCGGCACTGGGCCCTCTTCTGCCTTTCCGGGCCCCCCCAAAGTGGCGGAACGCCAGGGCCCAGTCGCGTAGGCGAACGCTGCAACCCTGGTAGTTCCGCCAGTGCTGCAAGCGGATAAACCTCTAATAGGAATAGCTTTATTAATACTACAACTAATCCTAAAACCACACAACAATTAATATAGTGGCACCAATCTGGCATATCATGCAAAGCACCAGTGACGTGGTTTCCCATCTGTGTTTTATAAATTAACAGCTATCTCAACTGCAAGGACGTTAAAGCTCCCGGAACAGGGAGGGAGAGGTTTACAAAAAAGCACTGCATTTTCTCCTCCTCCCGTTCTTCAGAAGAGAACTGGGTCGGGCTGATAACATTGCTTGGGATCTCAGAGCAGCAGATGCAAATGTGCATGTATTGTATACATGTTTTTTTCCCCCCACACATACTTTAAAACAAATAAAAAATAATAATTAAATACCAACTCTTACATGAGCTAGATTTTTCCTGAGAGGTGTCTGCATCTGTGTTGGAGCTGACAGACTGACTGTCTGAGTTTTTGCTGCCGTCACCAAGCTTTTTGAGTCTGTTCAAACGTTTGTCTGTTTCCCGTAATCCATACTTGCTGTTGATCACAGGACTCGGTTCATTAAGACCAACGCGTGATTTAAAAGCACCAGTTGCACGCCTGAAAAGAGTAACAAAAATATATACATTGACATCATAATGCTGCAATTGTTTTTGGATGAGCCAGCACTTCCAAGGTAGTAGCGCTTCTTAAGCATTTTTTGTGTATTTCTGTGTTTAGAGGGACAGGGTTCCTCTCCCTGTTACAAGGAGTTTTGCACACCGACTACCACAGATCACACTCTTTTAACATTGTGACCAATAAATAGTAGTGCGCATATCCATTGTTCTAGTTCTTTTGGATGAATATACAACTCTACTTTTGTTTACAGACAAACACAAACCAAACTCTAAAATGTGATGTCAATCACTAAGGCCTTGTTCACACCAAATGCAGAGCAGATCTGCATGAGTTTCTGCACACGCAGCGCAGTGGGTTGTGCAGCGTTTTTGATGCGTTCCGGGTCGTTTTTGGTAAAAAATAAAAAAAATTGTTTAGTTTAAAATTGGCTTTCAGTGCGTTCCAGGGCATTTGCATGCGTTCCAAAGCAGGTCCAGAGCAGGTAAAATAGGGCCTGCTGCAGTTTTTTTTACCTGCTCTGGAACGGAACGCGTGAATGTGAACTGGAGCTAAAAATACCATTGGAATACATTGGACGCAGTTTTGCTCCGGTCTGTAACTGCTCCGCTCTGCTCCTGGAACGCGCTTGGTGTGAACAAGGCCTAAAGCCTTTGTAGCAGAGTCTGTCCTCTTGAAACTACCTTCTCATAGTAATGTTTGTATTTCAGACAAAAACAGATTAATTTACTGGCAAACATGACAATACCCAAACATTCATTGCAAGTCTATCTTCATTTAAAGGATAGTGATTTATAGCCCCCGCAGTGAATATCACATTCACTGCTTTACAAATACACAAATTATTGTTTTTGTTATTGCTCAAAGTTCTTCTGGAGAATAATTTGCCTTTTATATCTTTTTCTTTTGGCCCAGTTTCTGCTCAAGAGCAGTGAGCTTGTGGCAAACATACATAATCAAAGCTCTGCTAGATAACCAGAATTATTTAGACTGGTTACTAAACTACGTTGGGGGGGAAAGGAAATAAAGACACACAGACAGACACACACACAATTCTAAGCGTGCAAGATAAAATTACAGTTGGCTTTTTTGATTGGAGCTAAAAAAAAAATAATAAAACAGAAAGTAGTTTTTTTGTCAGAAATGTGCAAAGTCTCTTCTGCCAAAAACTCCTTCTCACTTCTAGCAACTACATTATCAGAGGCCACCCAATGGCCAAAAAGGATGACAGGTGACCGGAAACAGCATACATTTGTTTATTTTTATTTTTTAAACAGAACTCACCGTTCACAGGTGTAACATTCACAGAACTCATTGTTTTCGCCAAAAAAACCATCCCCATAATAACAAGAGATCTCTTCCCCTGGCTCAATATCACGCAAAGCTTTGACACACGCAGTGTCACGCCCAGTCGATACAAACTGGAAATACAAAGCCAATATTTGGTTACAGTTCTCAAACATGAACATGAAAACTATTCTGATAAAATGCATGCACTATTGTACATCACTTACCTTGCAATTAGGTCTGCAATCTGTAGGGGGACAGGGAAACATTAAGCATTAGCATTCAAAAGATATCATTTAAAAAAAAAAAAAAAAAACACCTTTTTGGAAATCTTTTTTGGATTAACTGTATCTAAGCAACTAGGGATGCACCGATACCGGTTTTTCGGTATCGAGTACCGATATTTTTTTTCGGTACTCGCCAATACTGAATACCAATACAGGAAGTCCCATTAAGGATGCCAGGCGGCATGTAATGACTCGCCGCCCAGCTTCCTGATTAGCCAGAAACCTGTCTAAATGCTACCTTGTCACCAGATGACGAGGAAGCATGGAGTCGGTTTTCTGGCCAATCAAGAAGCTGGAGGGCGGGTAACAACTCGACACCCAGCTTCCTGATTGGCCAGTCTCCCGACTAATCAGGAAGCCAGGCGGCAAGTCACTACATGCCATCTGGCTTCCTGATTGGCCGGGAAGCTAGCTCCGTGCACCCTCATCACCAAGTGATGGAGCATGGAGCCGGCTTCCCGGCCAATCAGGAAATGTAATGACTCGCGGCCTGGCTTCCCGATACCGAAAGTTCCAGGACCAGCGTCGGGAGCATTTGGGCGAGTACGAGTACTCGCCCACATACTTGTTATCGGTTTATACCTATAAGGAACTTACCTTTTAAGCCATATACATGACTACACTGCCCTACACTGCCCAACAAAACTAGTATAATTTAGAGGCTTTATGGAAATAAAACGATTCTGGGGATTGGCAAACCTAACAATGTATTAAGAGGTATACTTTAACTTTATTTTAAATTATATCCTTTTTTAACCATACTAAAAAAAAATTAAAAAAAATCTAATGAAAAAAATGAATATCCCCCATCATTTACTTGATTTTGACATTTTGATTACACATAAGACGGACTTTTTTCCCCCCAAAAGGAGGGGGAAAATGTGCCTGCGTCTTATGGAGCGAATCCCGACGTCCGAGACATGCAGTTTCGGGCGCCGGGCGAGTAGTTTTTCGTACATTTAGCCCTGCTAAAAGCAGAGCTAAATATACAGTACGAGCCACTGCTCGTTTAATACAAGTGATATGATTATATCACTTGTATTAATACCGAGCAGCGGCGACGGCGGTGGTGATGGAGATCACCATAGAGCAGACGAAGAACGGTCTCAGCGGTCACTAACTGCAGCTTCTGTCACAGAAGCTGTGACAGAGTGCTCGTTAAGGCGCACCGGACCTCCCTGCGTCCTATGGTCCGGTGTGTTTTATGGAACGCAAAATACGGTAATCTCTGCAAATGTACAAAACTACACAAAATATCTACAAAGCCTTTTTTTATTTTTTAAAAGGCTCATGTAGCTGCCTGGCTGTAACCCAAAAAAGCCATTTGAACCCACCATGGTTAATGAAGGCAGCTGGCCCGAGCCATAACTGAGCACAGTTTTTCCTTGTTGAGTACATGACACTAAAGTCATTTTCTCCATGACGTAGAAGCATATTCTCTTCGGCTTCAGAAAGCTCAGCTATGCATCCCACTAGAAGTTCTATTTTGTCATTACGTTTCCTGTTGCAGAATCAAACAGAAAATATTCATTACCAGGCAGATGTACTGGACTAAAACTGCATATAGCTAAACCCGCTGCTGGTTGCAAACATCCTCAAATAGATAAACACCTATGAAAATAAAATAATTTGCCATGGTCATAAGGTGGATCTGAAGGATAAATGTCAATGTAAAATAAAAAAAAGAAGGTTGTTATACCTGTACTTTTAAAGAACAAATTAGGATACAATTACCAGCAACAGAAGCTCCAGTGCACAAGGTTCCCGTATATATCAATTATTTGGTAAAATGTACCTATAGGGCTCGTTGAGTCTCCTCTGGGCATGCTGTGCTTTCACAAATCAGTGATTAAGCAGTCTGCGTACAGCATCTCAAACTACAAAGCAGGTACCTCAGGAGGACTTCAATGCCAAAATATCAGCTTTTGCAAAAAAACAATTGCCCTGGGTAGGTTTCAAGTTATTAGGCTTTACCAAATTTGCATCATAATGTTGCTTTGCATTGGCTAGCCTAACAGATTCACGTTCACAGTGGAAGAGCTGTAGGTTTGTGCCTCTGAAAACGGCATCCCGGACAGGAACTTGGCACGACTTCCTCATGAGATATTCTTATTAATGCATTTGCAAGAACAAGGAAACTCATTTTGCAGTCTATGTAGTTGACAAGTCTTGACAAAAATATGATACAAATGATCCTAACTCATACTGAGTCAACCTGTGCATGGCCATAAGCTACCACTTTATGTAGTACACTTATTTATATAGGAATAGATGGTCAGTCTCGTACTCCTCTTACCTGGCCAGAGGATGAGGTTGAACTGTAGTTTGCTGGATAGTAAACATAACATACCAGATCATAAAGTTGAACTCCATACAAACAACTAAATACACAGATAGAAATACATTTATGGGAACTGCTTTACCTGTCAAAGAATTTGTTTTTTTTTTGTCTATTCAGTCCTGCGATTTACACAGCATAGTCTTGACCATCAGGGAAGGGAATCTGATCCTTCTCTGCCTCAGTATCACTATCACTTACAGGCCTGCTCCCCACCCTATGACTGGACAGTGAAAGTAAAAGCAGCCCACTGATCCACACAATTTTCAGTCACCCTTCTCTCTTCTCCGATCAGTATGTTCCTTACATTGCAGAACAACTGATTGGCTCCTTGTGCTGCTTCTCCCTCTTTTTCTGAGCTCTGCTGTAGAGACAACTGCAAGAGGCTGACGCCAAATCAATTTGAGCTACCTGAATTTAAAAACACATTCAATTATGTATTTAAGTGATATTAAAGCTTAATTATTTTTAAATTTTATCTAAAGAGTAGGACCATACCTTTAAAATTCAGTTGTTGTTGTAAATAAAAAATGTTTTGTTCCTCGTTCTCCAGCGAGTCCCTGCAGTGCTCTCCCCCCACCCCCTGCACCATCAGTTAAACATCTGCTGTGGAGGAACCCATGCCTGCTTGCTCCCGGCCATGCCCACAAGTGCCTGTGCGCATCCATTGACACACACAGCCCTGAGGCAGGCCCCTGCAACAAGGAAG